GTACCGATAGTAAAATTTATGAATGGAGAAGCTATCTGCAACGTGAACAAGAAATGGGGCATGTATTTTCCCGCTATCACTGCGCTGCGTAAGACAGTAAAACGTGTAGGAGGTAAACTGTTCAATGAGGTAAAAGAAAATATTTCTTTACTAAAATAAACTGTACTGAGAGATGGGCAACATTGTTCCGTAAATTTTAATGAACGTACAAATAGATGAAGAAAATTTCAGCTAATTGGAAGGTACACAAACGAAACTGTTCGATGAGAACCTTGAAGAGAACTAACGAGATATAATCACAGAGGATGCAGGCGATAATTATACAAAGCTCGAAGGGAACCGAGTTGGTCGAATGTGAGGTTTTAGTGAAGAGGTACGAGTTGTTAACGTGTAAGGCGATGGTTTCAATTATTTAAAATTGTTTTTGCTAAATTACAAAGGATTCTACGATTCGTAAACGCAGAAAATTGCGAAGCCGTGTTTGCACTAGTTAATGACATAGATCATAATGTAATCGACAATATTTCTAGAGATTTAACTACAAAAATTACAACGGACAGACCACAGACCAGAACTAGCGAAGGAATTATAAATAAGTAACGGAATATCGAAATATTACAACAAACCCCAAATAAGTAGGCCATCAAAGAGAAACCAATTGAATAAGCATTAACAAAGCAACACACAACATGATCAATAAAACATATTACGAACATGCTACGAACAGGAAATCTGTGAAATGAATTCAAAAGGCAAACAATAGCTTTTGACGAAACAACGGCCAGCGGCGAGTTTCAACCACCTGAAACTGAAAACTAAAAGTTTGAACACGTGGCCGTATACAAGTGGTGCTTACCTCGATCGGGAGCGGCGTACCATCTCGTCGTCTCGTTCCCACTTTAGAAAAATACTTTACCTTCTCGCTCTCTCACACCCCGCTCGCTTGTGTACAGTTAATCTCAGGTTTAGAAGACAAAAAGAGACTTGGAGAATTGATTTGAATGGAGACTAGAGTGAGATTGAGTTGTGATATTCTAAGTCAGGGCCCAGTGTGGCTCACTGCGGTGCACCTAACACTTGGAAGTGTTGTGCAGTTGTGCAATGTTGGCTGGTTGCCGGGGGTGAGAGAGCGGGACCACCGCCTCCGCGGACGGTCCACGGAGGAATGTTTCGCGACCCCGGCATCGCGCCAGGATCTCGCGCTTGCCACTATCAACGTTCTCCCAAGCTCATGAGGGGTTGATCCGCGCACGCGCCCTGCGAATCTCCTGTCCTTTACGCACCCGCGCAGAACACAGAGATGGGGGAACGAACTTTAGGGATGATATTCGGAGGGTGAAAAGACGATGAAAGATGGAAATGCATCTCGGACTCCGCTCGGATTTCCGGAGCTCGTGATTTTGTTTATTGATTCGTATCGGGGCGAAGACTTCTATGGGATGCTTTTTGGGGACGCCAAAGTTATTAATCCCCTTATCATGTCACTATAAGATTTAATGCTCGTACAGTTACTAATAAAACTTTTTACTGACCATTAATATCTCCCTCGATGATGGCCAAAATTTGTGAGCTCCGACTCAATTGTACAATAAAAGAATTATAAAGAGGGTTGGGCTAACAATGCACCTGTGGCCACTTTGCCCGACAAAAGGCTCCTGATTGACAGGAAATTTGAAAATGTCACGTATCACGCAAATAGCACCCTTATGTTTAGAGGCAGAAGATTTTGAATGACGATTTAATAAAGTATAGTTAGTGGGTTGAGATATAACCCCAAAGAGTGTTGTTACGTAGGACAATTATGAATATTTACGTAGCGGAGTGCAGTGTGCGCTGGAACAGAAGTAATGGGCGGCGACGTGAAGGGTTGGGTGAGACGCCGCCGACGCCGATGTTCATGACGCTGTCGACGTTGTAAGTACTTTGGGAAGCATCGCTGCCATTTTAGATAATCTTGTATCAATTGTAAATATGCACACTCAAATGTGTTGTTGTTTTAAAATAAAATAGCCTTACGAGTAGCGTTCGATGTACGATAGCGACAGTTACCGACAGCAACTCGATTTCCGCGTCGAAAAGATTTCAACGGCATCGGGGACAGTTAGGGAACCTAGATTTATAGAATTTTCTTTAACATTTCTGAGTGATATTTTCTAGAATTGGGTACTTTTCAGGATTGTGTAAAGTCTGATTTATAGTTCTAGTAATCGAGTGGTTACTATTTTCTTTGATATGTATTGAATTATAACGAGTCATGTTAATTTGTTGTAATTTTAATTATATTTAATTAAGACAATTAATTGCTACGTTTCCACTTCTTACAGCTGCGACATCATTTATGAATACAAATATACTAGTGTGTATTTTCATATCCAAATCCCATTGTAATTTTAGCAAAACTGTCATCTGCATTTCTATTATCATCGAATAATAACCCTTCCCCACCATCTTTCATTAGTGGTTGATTTTCTTCCACTCCAGCCATTATCAGAGTAAATATTATGACAACAGCGGTATCACATGGATCAATTATGGTTTGCGTTGCGTGTGTCGAGTGCCTGTATCGAAGTGTTACGAGGTTGAAATTTGGTGAAGTGAATGTTTCGGTTGACGATGATATTGCTGCACTTGTAGTTGTTGATAATGCTGGGGTAAGTGTCACTGTGAGTGCTATGTGAAGTGCTGATGGGATAGAGTATCTTATGGATAAGTGTATGGTTAATATTAATTGTGTAGTTACTGTGGAGGCTAAGTTATTAATTTTCAAATGCATACAGATAGTTATCGTTTCATTTAGAAGGGTCAATAACTTATCTCATTTGGATATCAAACTTAGGGATGTTTGCTTTTGTTACAACTTAAAATAATAGTTATAACACTCAAAATTCTGATCCTTCAATGCATATAATATGCCTTCTATACTGTATTTTTTTAGTTTCTCCACCCTGAAGATTTACCCCCATTAACCCTTAGCCCCCACATTTTTTAACATGTCTTACGAGTATTTTGTTTTACCGAAATCCGTCAATATGTTGAGTAAATCTGTAGCACTTTATGTGACGTGGACCCTGCTGTGCTGCATAGAAAATACATTTGTGTTTAAAGCAAGGGTCTGTCTCTTACATGAAAATGGAACGTTCGGACGTTTTTGGAAAAATAAACATATTTACTTTCCTCTTCGGACAAAATAAAAAGCTTTCATTCATCACTATTTAAAACATTTCTACAGCCAAATTTTTATTTCACAGGTGATATGAAAATATGACCAAATATGCAATACATTTTTTAAGACAATTAAATTCTCAAGCGCCTTTTTAGTATTGTAGTAATACAAAGTCATATAGTATTTCCAAAAGTCCAGATACTACGATACATTGCAACAGAACTGTATAAGCGTGCTCGGTAATGTCCCTAACATCTTCAATTGCATTAATGCCAATATCCGTTTTGCTTAACAAACGGCATAGTTCTCGCAATTTTAATCTTACGAACTTGAATCACTTGTTAAATTTTAATTTTAATTTTCGGTTATTTTTGGATCTTTTGAGTCAGTTTATTTAAATGTTGTGGCCCAGAAGTTTAACACTTCTCATGCATAAGGGTACGAAATATGGCAAGTGATTTTTCTGAGGTGCATGTACTTTCTAAGATTACTTCGACCTCAGTGACATGCAGTGAAGGAACACATCGTGACAAATTCTGGGCTTTTTTAATTATAAGTTTGAAATCACTAATACGTTTTAAGCAAGCGTGGTGATGAATGCTTCTTTCATTTAACCTTCTCCGTGTGAGAAGAGGCCCTTGCTCAGCAGTGGGCGCTTGATGATGTGATGCGAGTTTATTGGATTCACTAAGACCCTCGTGGTTGGTGCACGTGTCGGCTCTTACCTAACTACATAGTTAAGTACAACAATCTGTTTGAACCAATAACTTTGTTGGCAGTTTGTGTTGTATTGTTACCGTTATTGGTTCCTCGTGGTACAATAATATTGTTATTTGTAGCTGATTGGATGTCTCCTTAGTAATAGCTAACATGGACGTTGTGTTAAATTGTATTCCTTGATGCAAAGATAGTATTCCTAGATAAGTGTTTTGAAACCTTAAAATAAATGAATGTTTCTTGCGTTTGTTCATACAGGGTGATTTGTAATTCGACCACCATCTCGTATGGGGTTATAGAAAGAACAGTTCAATCCCGCTTATCCTTTTGTTTGACAAAAATGTTGGAATTGATCTGTTCTACAACCCCAATACGAGATTGTGGTGGAATTACAAATTACCCTGTATATTTTGTTTAGTTTTCATAATCGCTTAAACTATTCACAGAAGCTTCCACGCCTTTTATAATAAATATTTATGAGCTGAACATTTTATTTTTGTTACGCGCACTATTTTTGGAACTTGTAAATCCTTTACATGTTTTGTATTCGATACTTTATAGTTTGAGATCATGTTGATTTTATTAAATATCTTTCAAACACCTAGAATCTAGCTTATAATCTAGATCTGTACCCGAAATTAGGGCACGACTAGATTAATTCTTATCACCATACTCAGAGTCATTGAATGGTTATCTTAGTTTCATAACATAACATAACATCACGCCTTTTATCCCCGAAGGGGTAGGCAGAAATGTACATTACGGCACTTAATGCCACTGTACAATGTAACACCCACTATTCACTATTTATGTTATGAGTCCCATGTAATAGGGAGTGAGCCTATTGCCATATACCGGGCACAATTCCAGACTCCGTGTTACTACTGAGATTTTAAAAAATCCAGTAATACTTTGCCCGACCCGGGAATCGAACCCGAGACCCCTTGCCCGGCAGTTACACTTGCGACCACTCTGCCAACGAGGCAGTCCTTAGTTTCCTTAGCTTATTTTCGGAACAAAATCGTTACTGAGGAATATTGGGGTAATCATTAAATGTCTTCGAATATGGCCGTTAGACCTATGTATAAAAATTAAAAGATAACTAAGAAATGTTACTCACCAAAAAATTCGCGTATCGTCTCTTCGTATCGTTCGTAGCTTATCGTAGTCTAATTATAATAGGCACTAGTCGTTTGTAAGGCACTCGTTTGGCGTGGTTTTTTTTATAAAAATCTTCTTTACATTGCAGTCTGTTTACCTGTGGAGTAAAAGATAATAGTTTTAGTACATTCTCATAATAAATGGACATAGATATAGAAAAAAAAAATCAACTCTGCCATGTATTATGATTTTGGATAAGTTTATACAAACACAAATGTTGTTAAAGATGAGGATAATCATGATAATGGAAGATGATGTCTTCACGTGAACTATAAAATATTATAAAAAAGCAACTTAAAATGTTTGATAATGAAAGAAAAGACAGAGTTAACTCCAATAAGACAAAGCTAATTAGACCAGACCTCGATTACAATTTTAGTATCACATATCAACCATTAACGATGCTCTAATTCGATGCCAATACTATTAAGACATAATTATAAGAAAAATACATCAATGAGAAGAGATAAGAAACCCAAAGTACCAATAACTTCGATACTAAGAAAACCTATACAAAATTGATAGTAAAATCGTAAATATTACGATGGCATAAACAAGAGAAAATAAAAACAGTGAAGAGGTAATAAACAATAGTTTTGGCAGCGATACGATTTTAGTCATAGATAGTTACAGTAATTCTTGTTGCTATGGGCTTGTTGGCAAGCGAGACGTAATCTCATTTACTTCAAGGCTCGTGTGAATGTCCCTTACAGTGCTCAGTGCTTGAACTCGCTGAATAAGGCAACAACTTTATTTTTGTCATCTGCTCTGTTGCTTTTAACTTCGTGAATAACTCCATTCAATGTAAAGATACTATCAAAGTTTTATATTTGTCAATTCTTATAAAAGATACGAGATTTCCGCAATTCCATTTCCTTGCTATCTTTACAATCATCTAAGTTTGCAACCCACCCCTCATCGCAAACAATAAATTAAAAAACCCGACAACAAAACTACATAGAATTTATCTTCGTAAAATTTTCTGCAATCGAAAAAAATAACAATGCAATAAATTTAAACAAATCAAAATGCTATAAAAACAGTTTTCCCCTAAGAAGTTATTCAGTAACGGCCCCACGTTGGGCGCCAAAAGTCTGTGGGGGAGTGAGAAGGGGATAAAGTGTGCGTCTGTCTTTCTCTTGGCGCCAGTCGGTCCGGCGCCGTCTGGCAGTTGTCTGCCGCCTCCGTGGAGCCTCTTACATAACCTGAGCCCGGCCGCAGCCCGGGAATTCGTCCTGAACTCGCGAAAATTTCAACACACATTATGGAAATATTTGCCATTAAATGGAACAGGAGATAACAATGAAATATTGTACAATTCGTTCTCTTATACCATCCTGCGCGTTTTGTTAATCCCCGAATATTATATTGGGATTATGTGATTTTTCAGGAACACATGGCAACTTTTGGCACATTGCGGATTTTGGACGACGCGACATTGTTTTCGAGACACCAGAAAGGCTGCCATAAAAATAAAGAACTAACGTAGATAACACAATGGGAGCAGCAATGTTAAAAACAAAGACCATCTTTCTAGACTACCCTTTTTCTGTAACCTATACATCTCTTATGTCCTTGTGTATTATCTCCTTACATTACGAAGAAAATGGCAAGTGACAGGTGATATTTATCGAGGACCAAGTAGTGAAATTGAGGGCAGGTCGGCACCTACTGGGCTGGATATAGGTCAATCATAACATAGCACATGTCGCACACTTGTTATAATACTTAACGACAGCTTTGCACAATATTTTAATGAGAAATAGTAGCTTGCTTTCATGGCAAGGTAGATTTGGAACTTCTAGAAAAATCTGCTGGTGCTGCTGCTGCTAACATTTAATCTTAGTTTTCATATTTTTAGCATGAGCAATTGGATACAGTTTCGAATAGTTAGTAGACATGGGTATTATGAATCATCATATGATTTTAAAGTTGATTACAGATTCTTTCACAGAGCAGAAAATATCTATTAGGAGAAGTTGAAGGATAACAATATTACCACAAAACCAGAAGATAATATTTACTTTAGTTATCCAATAAAGGATTGGAATAAGGTATGAACTAAACAATGTGAATAAAATGTCAATCAACAGTTACAAAGGCCTTAAAAATCGCAAAACATGGTCTCAATAGAGGGATTTATTGCCTCAAACACCTACTCTCTATCCAATATATGGTATTTAAACTTGTGTTACCGTGATCTCCTACGCATTGACTGTCACCATGTAAAATGTGGTAGCGTCGAGTAACTTCATGTGGATATTAGATCAATCTAATGAAAATCGGAATTAATGGAAATCTGCCCAATTGTCGTATGAATTGCTGATTTTAATGACTTCAATAAGATATTTTTTTAAAGATTATCGCCCGAATAGTGGAAGGCTACTCAATTTTAAGTCGCGGTTTAATAGGTAGGTATAGTTCTGTCACTGCAAATTCTTGTTAAATGACAGAGATGGCACGATATTTAAGTAGGACTTAAATTGGAGTAGCTTTTCAGTATTCGGGTGTATGTGGTCTGATTTATCTGTCTGGGCGCCGTGAGTTTGAGTTCCACACGTTTTACGTCTTTCGTTGTCACGAGTTTCGTGTTCGGGTGTAATGTATTTATGAAACAAGATAAAATCTTAGTCCTTATTCGTTTTTTTCTTAAGGAGGAAAATCTTCCAATGATTTTCTCCCGTCTTGGGTTAGGTGAGATGGAGTGTTAGACTTTTACTGACTAAAAACTGCCCCGTTCCTACTCCTGCTCTTCGAGCCAGAACCCCGACAACTCGTTAGTCCTTCCGTGGTAATCTTAATCCTAGGATCATGTTTTTCAAGTATGTAAAATAAATTGGCCACATGCGTAAGTACAATAATTATAACTAGTATCAGTCGTTTATGCACCTGGTTGAATCTGAGTTCCTAATTAAAAACTACAAACTATAAATCAATTTGTTTAGCATCCAAAAATTAAACTCTGACTGATTCATGAAACAAACTTTGTTTTCAGCCTATCTGAAAGCAAGAATGCGTTTGTCTATTCCGATGTGTGTACGCATTTCATTAGTGCTCATTACATTCATTCGCACTAGCAGTTTCAGGGCAAGGTCACTTCGTTACATAGATTTTACAGGCTTTTGGGATTCAATCCGTAATTTTCAATACTAAGATTTTTTAGTCAGTCGATTTTGACTGCCTCATTTATTGAGTTTTTGGAGTTGATTTTTCGGTCTATTATAGTATTATTGAGTATTTTTAGTGTCCGAATAAAAACAAATCTCACATTTAAGCATTGTTTGTTTTTGTTAGCAGCATGAATTCTGCGGAATGGTGTCCAATCTTTGGGAATATGCTCTTTATTACATAAAACTAACAACTAATAATAACACTTCTGCCTACCCGTTGGGAGAACAAACTCATGTTTAAATCACATTCAGAACCAGTTAACAAAATCCCGTTGCAAGTACAAGACACCTCCAGCTATGCAAATCCATTTTATCATGGTCGCCTATTGTATGATGTATCCGCATATTCGACGGTCAATTTATACTGGTTTATTACAACATGATCGCGACGACGTCTAGTCGCGTGCCTGTGTTGACATGCGCCGGAGTCGGTAACACCAGTTTATATGCGCGCGCGCAACGGCACGTGCTGACAGACGCCTTCTGTTTGTTGTGGCTACATTTATCTTGTGTCTACAACTTTATTGAGGTGTTTCGTGTCGAGTAAAGGGATTTTTATTTAGTTTTATTATCTACAAATTCTAATTAGAAAGTCTATGTATGAGGTTTTATTTCTATTACGACATAAACCCCTGTTTTTGGTCAAAAGTAGGTTAATAGTTATACGTGGGGATTATAAAAAAACCCTGTTTAAAAACGAGGCTATTTTCCAATAAATGATGTCATTGTATTGATGGAGATCATAGTAAGTAATATTATTTTATCCCATAGGTCAAAATCCTCTATCCGAAAGAAAAATCCTGCTACCAAAAAACCATTTTGTAAAAGACACCACACAAAACCAGTCAATCAAAAACAACACCCAATTTGACCGGAATATGGCACAGCGAGTAATTACAATGCGAATATTATAAGTTTATAACATAGGGAGCTGGGACGCGTGCCGCCGCCCGCGCATAACGGCACGCGCTAACAATCAGCCTACTGTTTGTAGTAAAACAACTGTTTAACTTCGAGTGGAGATAAGAGATGGCGGTAGTGATGCGGAATTAAAATGAAGATGTTGAAATGATTTTTATTTTTGCAAATGGGTTACATTATAAAGTAGCATTTTTAAGTATTTTGTTTGGTATGGATACTGTCTCGCCTGGTGGTAAACGATGATGCGGTCTGCGATGGAGCACATCTGCCCTTAAGCAATCTATTCACTCGGGTCTTGAAGGCACCCAGGTAAGTAAGGAAACTCACAATACAGGAAGTGATTGAGAGAGGAAGAGTTTAAAATGATTCAGAATCTGTAGTGGAATAGTTCTTTGAAAGACTTGTAACTTATAGGTAGTAAAGACGAATGATGAATATAAAGTGTGTCTCGGTGTTATTATATCTTTTCCTGCCACAGGCCCACAGGAAGAGATTCCAGTTGGAATATGTGGGGCCTATGTACTCTGTTTTTATATATGTGTTGTCTTCTGTGTTGAATGTGTGTACATAAATAAATAAATAAATAAAGTCACAAGTTGGATTCTTGGCCCTGAGTTAAGCGAAGTGTTATTGGATGAGTGTGACATGTTTGCGTTGGTACTTTGTGACGGTTATAGTCGTAGCTTAGTCTAGGTAGTGAACACTAAAACATAACTAACAGAATAGGAAGAATACAGAATAAGAAAAACTTTATTCTTCTGTAATGGAAAATCTGCAAAGGAAACCGGCAAACTTCCATAGTAAAGGACTCGACAGACAAAAATGAAATAGCTACTTTGATTTTACACAGGAATGAATACTAATATTAGTCCTTGAAAACAGTATTTCATTGTACAGTATATCAAAGGAGTTCGCAAATTCTGTCAAAGCCAGGATTTGCGAACTCCTTTGGCTGAGAACAAAAAGAAACTTTTCCTTTCTTTTAAAAAAATAAACACCACAAACT